TAAGGCTTCCGGAGACCAGGGGTTCCCTGCTGCCGGACCAGGATGTGGGTGGCTCCTGCTGGGATAGTGACCACATCGTTGTATCCGTACCTGTGTAGAAGGAGTAGAGGGGAACTCAGCATCTTCCTGAATCCTCTCAGCCTTTCTGAGCCGTTTGTATGATTATATGTGTGTATATGTGTGTGCAGATATAATCTGTCCAGCCTAGATCTGAGCTACTTGCAAACGTGCCCTTCTCCCTCTTATCTCTGGGCCTTTAGACCTGCTGCCCCTTGGTGCCTGTCCAATTTGTACTCTTCCTCCAGGAGGGAAGTCACTTCCTGCAGAAGCCTTCCCTGATGCCCACAAGGGCCCTCACAGCAGCCCAGGCTGACACCTCTGAACAGGTGGCACACTGTGCTACAACTGCTTACTTATCTGTCTCCCCCACTAGACTGTAGCTAAGCTCTTTGAGAGGCTAAACAGTGCTGAGTTCACCTCTGTAACCCAGGGCCCAGAATAATGTCCAGGAAGATGAGAGGAGGAAACAGTGAATGAACCTGAATTTTCTGAAGGAGCCAGACTGCTTGCTGCAGCTAGAACCATCCCCACCGCACACCATACATCTGTCAAACTTCTTTTTGGAGCCAATAATGTGGTCACAGCCGGCATGGATGCAGCGGCCCTGGACACAGACCGAGGAGCTGTCTGGGGAACAGGGGGTCCCATCTACGACCTGAGGAAGAGAGAAGGAGTGATGCAAAGGGTCTTCTTGAGTCAAAAGGGGTTGGTAAGCCAAACAAGACCATTATCTTATCAGAGAGGGGAAGTGGATGGACTGTGGAGGGAACCCTAGCCACTGTAAGGGATGATAATCATAATGATAATGGTAAAAGCCACCATTTTCAGAGCACTCAGTATGAATTAGGCACTGTGCTAAATGCTATCTAAACCTCACAACCACTATTTGAGGTTTGTAGAGATGGAACCCTGAGGTTTAGAAAAGATTAGGAGCTTGCCCAAAGGTACACAGCTGGCAAGTGGAGAAGCCAACACGCCAATTGCAGGTCTGAGTCCCAACACCAAGCCCTAAACTTTGGTGGTACCATCCTGGCTGGACGCTAGAGGGCAGCCAACCTATAGGCATTCTACCCAGGATGGGGTGAAGGCTGCAAAACTGCTAGGCTTGTTCCTTCTTCAGCCTCAACCTACGGCCCTACCACAGAGAGGGAGTGCAGGGACATCACTGTCTCCAAGAGGCCTGTTCAGTGAGGGACTGGCCAACCATAAGCTCATTGAGGCTACCACTGCAATTTGACAGAAGAGCCCATGGAAAGAGGGTCAAAGACTTGCCCAAAAGGCCACACAATTTCATTCTCATGAATGGAGCACTGGAAGATGGGGAGACAGAGAAAAAGAAACCAAGGGGAATGGGACAGGCTAGAGCTGCCAAACTGGCAACTTATCTGAAGTCTAGGGCTTGTTTTCCAAATACCCATGGACAAAGAAGTCTGAGTGGGCCCCTAGGCTGGCTGGGCGTGGCTGTGGGAATGCCAGCAATGCTGCTGTTTTGGATCTTTGCAATCAAAAAGTAGAGGGCTTGTTGGGCAGTGTGTGAGCACAGACAGGATCTGGGGGCCCTTACCCGTGGCTTTAGCACATAGTAGTAGCCCAGTGCCTGGGCCTGGCAGGTGAGTTTGCACTGGTCCCGGGGGGCCACACCCGTGTAGCGAGGGACCCAGTCCATGGGCCCTGGGAAGTTCTTGAAGAGGTCAGTGCGGTGGTTGTAGGCAGCACACTGCTCTTCACGGAAGGTCAATGCTGTAGGGTTAAAATGGACAGTCAGAGCCCTTCTCTCTTTCCACTGCCCTCTCCAGCCCCTCCATCTAGCCTCTCAGACCCCTGGACAGCATGGCACCTCTCTTCCCCACAGACTGCCAGGAAAGGTTCCTGAAGGGTAAAGTCACTACCCTCAACAGCAGGGACAGTCAACACCTCCTTGGTCCTTGAACTCAAGGGACAATTCTTTGTTCTACCAATCCCTCCCAAGGGCTCTCATCCCTCCCTCTCCTCACCTGAGCCAGTTGGGCAGTCCTGGGTATTGCAGGAACGGAAGCGGGTACGGCGGCCCTCACAGTACTTGCCACCATTCCGGGGGATGGGCCGCGTGCAGTCCCGGGAAGAGAACTGGACACCACCCCCACAGGTCCGAGAGCAGTCACCCCATGATCCCCAGGGACCCCAGCCACCAGCCTGTGGGATCTACAGAAAGACAGAATGGAAGAGTGGGATAAATACTCCCTCGGCTTGGGGCCAGTCCTCACTCCCTGAGGCCCTCTGCTCCACTCTTGCCCTGGGATCTCACATTGAAGTCCTGGAGCTGGTCCATGTGGAGGCAGCGGCCACCCATACAGGCCTGTGAAGGCCCACAGGGGGTACCATCAGCCCATGGTGAATGCTTGGTCTGGCACATGGCATGGCCGTTGAGATGGCCAGAGCACCAGAGGGCAACACAGGGCGGCGGCAGCTGCGGACAATGGCGTGAGTCAGGCCCGAAGGTCAGCTGGCACTGGCGGTCAGCATCATAGTCCTTGCCAGGGAAAGTCACAGGCAGATGCAAGGGAGCCTCTGGCTTGTCTAAGAGACAGTGCCCTGGGAAGAAGCAAGGGGTATAAAGTCAGCAGTTGGCTGAAGGGGTGCCAGCTGATTGCCAGCTGAAACCTTGGGCTCCCTGGGGCTTGATGAATCCTAAAATCCCAGTCCTAGAGCTGGAAGAAGCTTTAAATAGCAGCTACAGTTTAGTGGATGCTTATTATGTGATTGTGTTGGCTAAATGCTTGACCAACAGCATCTCATTTAATCATGGTCAACATCTATGAGGTAATTATGGTTGTTATTATTATTATGCCTGTTTTACAGATCAGCTACACAGAGGTAAAGTCACTTACTCACAGCCACGCATCTACACACATCTAAAGAACAGGATCAGGATAGGAACTCAAAGCACTGAGTCTTCCTACATATTCTAACTAACAACAGAATTCTTGAGTCTGCTTCTCATCAACATCCCTGCTCAGTAGTAGTCATCCTGCCAGGCTTGCACACCTTGAGTGACAAGGCAGTCACCGCTTTTACAGCTAGCCCATTCTACTGTTGGACAGTTCTGGCTCTCAGAAGGTCAGTTCTAAATCTGTTGAGCCAAAACTTGCTTCCCTTAGCTGTCCTATTGGTTCAGAGAGCGAGTGGGGACCACACAAAGACAGCGGCATTTCGCACCCCATCCCACACTGCAAAGGAAGCACACTTGAGGGAGTCAATTTTGAGGGAGTCCATGTGGAATGTGGCAGAGGAGAGGGTACAGAGAGGGCCAGGGACTGAGTCCTGCACAGGGAAAGGGGAGTGCTGTCTGCTTACCGTAGCCATTGTCCAGGAAGTCGGTGATGAAGTGAGCGCTGCAGGGGGACCAGGGCTCCTCGGGATCCACGTGAGCCATCACAGGAGCCATGACATGGCGAGAGGTGCTCCCAGGTCCATTCAGACCCACACATTGCTTTGAGTTGTCATGGAGCATGCTGAAGACATGGCCTGTGAAACCAGAGACCCTGTTATAGTCCAAGGGTCTCATCCCTGTGACCTCAGGGGGCTGCAGGCCCATCATAAACCTGATTGCAGCTTTGGATGATCAGATCCATTCCCCATCCCACCCTGCCCGAAATCCTCTTCTGATCCTCTGAGGGCTTCTCAATATCTAGCCCTCATTACTCTGTCTCACCTCCTCCCATCATACCCTCAGGGCCTCTCCCTACCCACTTTTTCTTATAGCCAGCATCCCAGCCCTGACACCACCCACTCCATCACTGACTCTTGTGAATAATCTCTCTCTCAATACTGCACCACTCCTCCCACAAACACACACACAGAGTTCACAGTAGCTTTCTACACATCATCTCATTTAATAGAAAAATCTAAATGTTTGTCTATACCCAGAGTGAAAAAGGATAATGGCCCCAGACCTAGGGATGGGGAGGAGGAAGAAACATTTTATGACTCCCATTTGCACCCTGGTGAGCTCACTGTCTCCTCACCTCACCCTGTGATACCTCTTTCACCCATTACAGGTGGCCCATGACCACACCCCTAACGTACCCAGTTCATGAGCAGCAGTGAAGGCTGATTGGAGCCCATCATCCTCCACGATAGCACAGCTCCGAGCCGGGTCACACACAGTGCCCACATCAGCCATGCCCAGAGTGTCACAAGTAGAGACCCCACACAGGTCCTGTGGAGAGGGATCATGGAAGATGCATGAGGAACCAAGACACCAGGGTCCACTGGGCTGAGATCCAGATTACTGGGGACCTGGGCACTGAGTACCCAGCATCATCAGGGCCCAGAAAGCATTGATAGAGTGTCTGGGGCCAGGTGCCATGCTGAACAACTCCAGAGGCACCATTTACATCACAGTTGATGCAGTGGTGCTTCTTGGAGTCCTGCAGTGCATGGCCTGTGGTGCTGATTAGGGCCTCACCTGACGGGTAAACAGAATGGCTGTATCGAAGTGGTCAGGGTCCGAGTCCTCGGGGGTGTTGAGTCCTCGCTGCCAGGCACAGAAGCTGCGCAGGGTCTGGGCAGCATTAGGCCCTACTTGGGGCCCTTCCTCACCCGGCCCCAGAATCACTAGCCGAGTCACCACCAAGTTGACGGGGTTGCGGATGCTGGGGTGCTTAAAGGCCTTGGCCGCTGCTGCCATAACTGTCAGCAGGTAGCGCTTTAGCCCTGCACCATGAAATGCCGCCATCTTGTCATCTGCTACCACCAGAGTCTCCACATATCTGCTCAGTGAAGCAAAGCGCTGGAGAGGAAAAAATAGTGGAAGATACTGAAATATCCCAGACCCGTGGATCACTTTTCCCCTCCCCTACTTCCTGGGTCTGGAACTCAGCAGAGACAGCTGGTCCACATATATCCATCCCACGGGATTCCTGATGGGTCTTGGTTGGGCCTTCCCCTCAACCCCAAATCCCAGGGCTTTTGTGGTTACTCTGAGAAATCATCTGTTGATTCTAAGAAGGGGAAGAGATGGGGATGCCACGTCCCAGGGCTATGTGGGCCCCCCTGGTGAAAAGCGGCTGGGACTGCCTCTGGGAGGGACTCTGGGGTCCCCCAGGCCTGAGTGTGGCTGGGGCCTGCAGGACTGGGGCTAGAAGGCTGGGCTGCAACGTGTCTGCCCTGTGTGGTGGGAGGAACAATTCAGTCAGCAGCTAGGGCCAGGGCCAGATCTCAGCGTGGCGGGTGTGGAGGGAGCGTCTGGTCTGGATTAAAGCTAGTGAGGGAGGGAGGGAGGAAGGAAGGGAAGACGGGGGAGACCAGGAGTGGGAGGGAGGAAAGGATGGAGCCTCAGGCAGCCTTGCAGTGAGTCCACAGTGTGGGGAGGGGACTGACCAGGAGGGGGTTCAGGATGCCTTTCTTCCCCTGTCCACTCCTGCCCTAGTCTGCAGTGTGCCAGGACAATTTTGAAGGCAGCATCCGAATCCAGAGGCCAATTCCCTGGGCCTCAAACCTCACTCCTCTAGCTAGTGATGGGAGTGAAAATCAAATTTGGGGCACAGAAAACAGTCAAGGCCAAAGGGCTGTTAGGAGGGCTTCATTGTTGGGGACTGTGTCAGTAGGATGCCATGGCCAGCAGGGGTGGGGTGGGGATAGGGAGTGGAGTGGTCATTCCCAGCACAGAGTCTCTGATCCACCTCTGGGAAGCCCCCTGGGATCAGCAGTCTGGCTAGGAGAAGGGTTGGGGCAGGGAGAAGCCAGAGCCTTCCAGGAAAGGCGCTAGTGGAAAGAGAAAAAAGCAGGCAGAAGGGAGGGAAGAAGCAGAATAGCCAGAAGTAAAGTGGGTGGAGAGAAGGTGAATAGAGGTCAGTAGGACAGACATGGCAGGAGGACACTACAGGACACAGATTCCAGGGCTGCCTACCTTGGCTCTTCGGGGGCTGGGGCTGGGATTCCCGGGAGGAGCCTTGACGTTGCACATGGGGCCCTGGCCGCTGGCAGGACTCTTCCGGCGTAGAATGTGAGCCCCAGGCCCCCCGGCAGAGTTAGGGGTGCCTCCCTCCAGGGGCTGGATGTGGAGTTCGGTCCCTCGATACTGCAGCACCCCTAACAGAGCTCCCCCATCCCAGTGCAGAGATGCCACCGACTCCGGATCTCCGTTGATGGTTCCAGTGAGGTAGGTGCCGGGCTCTGCCCTGTCCAGCAGCTCAGACGCCTGGCCCAGGTACTGTACCGTCAGCCCCTCAACCCGCACGCCTGGGTCCTGCTCCAGCTCTAGTAGCAGCGTCTCCCCAAAGGCTGGCAAGCGGTACAAAAGCCTGGCAGGGGCGCCCAAGCCAGGCAGGACGCTGCCATTGAGCTTCTCTGGAAACACGATCTCCTCCTCCCGGGGAAGGGGGCTGGCCGGCCGGGCTGAGGGCAGGAGGGAGGCCAGCAGCAGCAGGAGCAGCAGCACCAGCCCTGAGACGGGCACAGTGGGGAGCAGCAGGCGGGGTTGGATTCCCCACAGCCAGCACCCCGCCAAGCCCCTCCCGGGATGCGAGTCCGTCCGGGACATGGCACTGGTGCTGCAGCTGGGAGGGACTGAGGCCGTCTGGGCACCAAGTCCTCCCTGCCCTGGCTTTGGAAAGCTCCTCTCTGTAGCCTGGGGGCTCGGACTCATGCCAGGGTCAGAAGCAGAGTTTTCAGAGGGGCTGGGGACCTTCAGAGGAGATGGAGAAAACTTGGCTCTTAGGCTTAGGAGAGGTGCCTAGTTGTCTGGCTCCTCCAAACTCTCCTCCCACAGTCCCTTTCCTGGATCTTTGTCTCTCCTTGCCCGTGTCTTCTGCAGCTTCTCGGCCCTTTCCCTCTGCACTTTCTCAGACTCTGTCTGCCTTTGCTCTGTGCCTGCCCTCTCTCTGCCTCCTTCTGCCGCCAAGCCTTTGTCTCTGTCTCTCTCCTCCTCTCTCTCCTGTGTCTGTGTTTCTGTGGGTCTCCCTGTGGGTTCTTCCCAGCCTCTGTCCGCGCCAGCTCTTTTAATCGTATCGAGCTGCTACGATTGGCTGAGCTATAAGCCATTCAGCCAGGAGCTTTGTTGGTAGGACTCAAATGAGTGTCTCATTGCTTCCCAAACTCCTAATTTTTGTTTTCCTTTGAAAAAAAATGGGACTTGCCCAGGGGAGGGGAATCTCTAGCAGCCGGATGGATCACAGGCACTGGGCCAGCTGATGACATAGCCTTTTCCCAAACTCTACTGTCGGCTCTCAACTGTCTCTTTCCCTTTTTGGTGGGACAGAGCCCCAGGCGGGGTAGGAAGTCAGGGAAAGGGCCCAACCAATACGCACAGAAAGGACCATGGTCCCAGGAGAATTCTCGCTCTCACTATCTAACCTGGCACGGCTTCCTTTTTCTCAGGGATCCCTCTGCTGCCCTCTGCCCTTAGAGGCTGGTTTCCAGGGCTGAGGGAACTGAATGAGCTGCTAGGGAAAGAGGGTGGGGAACAGGTAAGGAAGCATCCAGGAAGGCAGAACAAAGAAAGGAGGTGGTTTGACATGGCTCAGGATGGGACCAAGAAGCTGGAGAGAGTACAGGAGGCAGGGAGTGGGGGCAGGCAAGGAGACAGTGACCAGGGAGTGTACTGCCCAAAGGTAGGATGAGTCTGCTTAGAATGGGCACATGGAGTGGGCAGAGGACAAGGCAGGAAGGGTTAATAACTTTTCCTTTTATAGAAGGAAGATCCAGAGTGGTACATCCTCTTCCCTAATGTCTCTTCTCTCCCTCTGGCTCCCCCTTCCTAAGTTACCACTCCCCACCCCCTCCAAAGCCCAAACAGCCATTAAGCCTCCATTCCCTCCAGGGTTCCCCCTTCCCACTTCCTGACTCCCCATTTCTCTGGCCCAGCTCCCAGTAGCTTCCCCCAGGCTTTTGGCCCTGCTCCTACCCACTCCCAACTGCCCTGAACCCTCCTCCAGCCTAAAGTCAGCCAGTCCCCAGCACAGGAATGATTTTCTCCCTCTCAGGAACCCAGTGTCAATACAAAGGAGGGAATCCCCACCTGGTTCCCTTTTTTGGCTCCACCTTGTCCCAGCAAGAACCCTACAGTTCCTGGAATGTCTAGTAATCTTTTATTTCTCATTCCCCAGGGGACAGGGAGAGGGTGTATGCAGCACTGTGTTCACAGAAAAATCAGGGTACTGAGAGAAAAAGAAACCCAGTGCCTGGGATGGGGAGAGTGCTTGGGAAGGAAGAGGCAGTGTTAGGGAAAGGAAGCAAAATGATTCCCTTGGTTCTGGACCGGAGAGAAATCAGCAAAGTCTTAGGGGTGGACTCTCAAGGCAAGGAAGTAAAGGGTTCAGAAGTAGGGGCAATTTCTGCTCACCCCATGCTATGGCCACTCCTTTCCCCAGGATATCCCCAGGAAGGAGAGTACAGTCAGCACTTTCCTTTCCCGGAGGCAGACCACCTGCCCCTGCCCCCATTCTATTCACTCTCTGCCTTGTCACCTCCTGTGCTCCACATCACATCCGCCATTGTACTTCCTTTCCCACTCCCTTCCTGCTCAGGTCACTAATACCTGCCTTGGTGTCCATCACTTCCTGTATCACCCACCCACTTCTGACTGCTAGACCCACCTCTTGACCACCACATGCCCTGACCCTAGTCCTAAATGGAGGGGGTTGGGGCTGCAGGAGTCAGACAAAGGATGGGAGACCAGAAGGGGCAGGGGCAAGAGGAGCTATCACCAGAGGACTCTTATTGCCCCTTTCCACCCCCCTAACTGAGATGAGGACAAAGGGGGTGACTAAGCAGTGACAGACAAAGGGCCTTAGAGTCCCAACAGCAGTGTGTGTGTGGGGTGCTGGCAGCAAGGAGAAGGCACAAAAGATTCAGTGTCCTAGACAGCCCCCAGGATCCCTCACCCTAGTTGCAGCTCAAGTTGCCCCCTGGGCCAAGCAGCTCAGAGTCTGTCCTGACTTCTTCCAGGATGGATTAGGGCAAATAGATGCAGTTCTCCTCATTTGTCCTCCCTCGCTATCACCGTATTCACTGTGTTCCAACTATAGAGGGAGAGAAGGTCCAGGAAGAGGTTGGGGAATGAGGAGGGCAGGGGGGCAGGGCCTCTGTCTGGCTCTGTGGGGACTTCCCAGCCTACCCAGGTTCCAGTCAGTTCCCGCAGCCAGGGATATGGCCCCACCCTTTGGTACAGTTCCCATTAGGTCAACTCCCAGGCTAGAAGTCTGGCTTTGCTCTCTTTCTTTGCAGCTAAGAATTCTGTCTCTGCCACTCTCCTGGTCTGTCTGCTCCACCCTGCCACAGGGACCCTGTCTAGGGGAGATCTGGGGAAGGCCTCTTTCCAGGCCCCAAGTGGGAGGGATGTGCAAACTAAACGGGTGGCCCAGCTGGAGCTGGGCTTGGGGACAGAGGGAGAGAACAGGAACTAGCTCCAAGGCTGGAGAAGTCTTCTTTGTCTCTTTCATACAGAATTGGGATCAGACTCCTAGTGGTTCTATGCCGTTGGCGGGGACTGAGGCCAGGTCAGAAAGATATGAGGTAAAAGAGACTGACCCAGGATGGAAGTGGAGTGCAAGCCACTGCCTGGGTTTGTAATTCTGTGGAAGCCTGGCAGATATCAGGGTTACCCATAAGGGATCTTCTCTCCTCAACTGGGGTGAGGTGGCTCCTGCACACCCTGGCAGCCGGCCCCAATGCTGGTGGCCTTGGCGTCCTTACTTTTTTTTAGTTTTGGTTTGGCTGGAGCTCTCAGACCCGCCCAGCCCCATTTGGGACCCCTTTCCTAATCCATTTAGGCCATCTGGAAATTAGCTAGCTTTCCCTGCTCCAAATCTTTTGGATTGAGGGACAGGGAGGTTATTGGCAAAGTCTGGCGCTAACTTAGGAGAGCAGGGCTACAGCAGCGGGGCAGCACCGATCGGGCATGGGGAAGACCCCCGCGTGAGTGTGCACCAGGCACTGAGCGGCTGAGCACTTTCTAAGGTGCGCAGGCGTCTCGGGCGAGACGGCGCTGAGGGCGTCGTTGCCCGCGGGAGGAGCAGCAGGTTTCTCCGGCTCAAGGGCTCAAGGTTGTAAGAGTCAGTCAGGAGCGGTGGGAAACACCAGCCTTCGCCACCGGTATTTAAGCGAAAGTGAAGCCGAAGGGCAGAACCCGGATGTTGTCAGGTTTGCGGTCGGCGACCCCGCCAACTTCCAAGGGCAGCTGCGTTGTACCAATAGACGAGAAGCCCACTAGGAGGCGCGCCAGAGGCACTTCCGCCCGGTTCTCCTTCCCACAGTCTGCGGCGGGGCAAGATGGCGGCGCTCAGGGCTCTGTGCCTCCTCCGGGGCGTCGCGGCCCAGGTGCTGCGGCCTGGGGCTGGAGGCCGACTGCCGATTCAGCCCAGCAGGTGAGACTAATGGCAGCCCTCCATGCGCTATGCCCGGGGCTTGGGTTTCTCGAGTCTGGGGACTCCACGGGTCCTGTGACCCCCACCCCGCCCCAGGAAAGAATGACCCAGGCCCATGACCCCTCGCCCAGGCCTGCAGTGTCGGGCTCCAGGATGCAGTGGCCCTTGCTCTGGCCGCGGGAGGAAAGACGGTCTTGAGCTCTGTCTGCCAGGGGCGAAATCAGTTGGAGGGGAGACTCTGCCCTTAAGCGTAGTGATACTGTCTCCCTCCCCTGATACCCTGCTACTTCTCCCAAACTTCACCACGGGTGGGGTGTGCGACTGGCGAAAGTCTCCTTAGACACTGTGGAAGAAGAGGAAAGCACCTCGATGGACTTAAAGGTCGAAAGTAAACCAAGAACCTCCCAGGTTGGCCCCAGTTTATCGCCCTGGTTATATTTTAGCTGAGCCAAGGAGCCAGCATGACCCACCCCCTCCCTTTCTTTTCTTATTCTTCGGTTGACCTTGAATAAACACCTTTCTTGAACTCATATTTACAGAATAGGAATATACATATGACCAAAATTTAAAAGAGCTGAGATCCCCAACCATGCATGCAGAGGGATGATGGGTGAAGTGACTCTGGAAATAAGTTGTTAGTAAGAATGTAACTTCTAGTGTTCCAGTTTGTTTTGCCAAAGCTACACAACTCTATGTCAATGACTTGGCATTGAAGAATCCAAGACACTCGTCCCTGGGCCCACTTGAAAGTGTGTGGGAACAGAGGAACCAAGCACTGTTCAGGCCCTTTGGGATCTGTCATTAACTCTCCAGAGGTGCTCGGCAGTGGCAGCCAGATGTGGAATGGGCAGAACAGTTTGGAGGAGCTGTCATGTACCCCACCAAGGACACAGCCCACTGGAAGCCTCCACCTTGGAATGGTGAGTGTCCAGACCCACTGTCCCAACCCACACCCTTCCCAACCCACACCCTTCCCTACACCAAGCTGACTTCTAAGTGCTCCTGAGCACTTTGTCTCAGGCAAATTTTAGCCTCCAACCCTTCTTGCTTCTTGAACGTTGCAACTCAAATAACTTAATAATAGTGACAATGGGAGATATTTGTCAAGCAGAACATTCCAAGAGAAAAGAAAGAGTAGGTCCCAGCCAACCTTCCAAGGTCCCTACCAAATTTATATCTTTAGCTTTCAGGTTTTTCCAGAGGTTCCATCTCCCTCTCTAGACAAGGTGGTTTTCCCACTAGCACCCAGATGAAACCTTACTGAATACAAAACATTTCCCCCCGTCAAAACTAGCTCTTCCTTTTGATTTTTAGTTTTGATCAGTGCCTCCCTCATTCTCTGAATCCCTCAGGATTGATACTTCTTAGATGTCTTTGGCTCTTTTTTCTCTCTTGCCCTCTATGTCTATGTCCAGTTAGTCATCGAACCATGCATATTCTTTAATAATGTTTCACATGTGGTCGTCTCTCCCTTTCTTGTTCAGATTTATTTTGTATTAGACCTTAATTATTTCAGAAGTCTCTTTGCTGGGTTCCTGCCACTGATCTTGTCCCATTCTAGCTATCCTATACAATGTCATCACTCTCATCTTCCCCAAACATTATTTTACCATGTCATTCATTTTTTTGCTCC